AATGTCAGCGTGGGTACCTCATCCTCGAGGAAGATTTTAGAAAAAGTAATCAAAAATACTGTAAATATACATGATAAATATATCAATTATATATTAATGTACAGTTAGTCGAGCCGTTTTCCCCGTTAGTCGGTCGTTTTTGGCGGCGGTTCAGTTTTTACGGAGAGTGCTCCACTAGAAATCCTCTCATTATTTACAACCACGAATCTTGCGATTTTTTCTGGCATTCTAAGGCATATTATCCATTTTATTAGCAATTTGCATTAAAATAATGATGAGAATTTGCGATATAAACAGTTTTTTCATTTGTCGTGGATGGGACCCCTAAAATAAACGGAAAAACCGTCAGAAAACGATGCGTGACGTTTCAGGGTCAGAGGTCAATCCTGCCATCTAAGCAATGCGCCAGACTAATTTGTATTGTTTGTGTATTAACTCTGGTGTATAACAGAATAGAGTAAAATGTTGACAAACATTTAAATAGATAAACCCGTTTACGCCTCTATACCTCTGATGGGTCTTGGCGATAGTTGCTAGAACTTTTGAGCCAAACTAGCTTTGAAAGACCTTGGATAGAGATTGTGTGTCACCCGGAGTCCAACTGACTTTTATGGGTCAAATCACAAGATGGCGGGACTGAAGATTTATCTAGTCTGTGACCATTGGTATAAAATAACTGACAATATAGTAAATATGAATGATAATATAATGTTTATGGTAAAATTATATGTGTGACAACTGTAGTATGTGTTTGCAGTGGCGTCACTTGGTCGGGTGTCATCCGACTTCATGGTGTCACCCCCCCCCCCCACAAGAAACAAAGTATAGCCCTATAAGTCTATTTTACTTTAATTAATCTTCAATGGTATTGGCAAAAAAAGCATTTTCTCCAATACATTTTGCAAAATTTTGCTTTTGGGTAAACCCCGTACATGGTGTCACCCGGTGTGGTCTGCACCCCCCGCCCCGCCCTGGTTACGCTTATGTGTGTATGACATCGCGAATTAGGTCGGTGGTATAGTTGGTATATTATGCGGTATCGTGTGTATGTTAGCCGGTATCGCAGGGATGGTATCAAATAAATGGTTCGCATTATCGTTGGTGGTATCGCTGTAACGTTCCATTTGTATCAAGAGTAAGATCGTTGGTTTCGCGAGTATGACACCGCAAATCGAACCATATCACGCCGTTCACAAAAGCCATTCACTAAATAAAAAACGTAAATGTGATCTGGCATTTGGCTTGCTGTAACATTAGCCCAACTTTCCATGCCCAAACTAATAGTTTGACTCCATTGTATAACTGCTATAAAACATATTATACGACCGTAATTTTATTTTAGAACACATTACTTGTGTATTATTATAGAATACAAAAGGGTTGTATTGTAACCGATCTTATGGTTGGAATCTGGTTGTTTAACTAATAACAAATTAGTAATAGAGCTTTAGTTATCGTTAACCTTGTAATGGCCACGACAACGATAGTTACCATAAACTTATATTGTGATCAAAATTACAGAAAGCTTATTTGGTGAGGTCCTCAATTGTAACTCAAACTATGCCATCATAGTTGCGTATTTTTAGTTAGATCTAAGTTGGGCCTGACCCAGCAGTCAGTGCAAATATCACAGTGACGCCGTGAATGGGTAGGTGCATGAGTCAGATGGTAACGATTGGGGGTAAATGGGGGGGAAGTATGATCTAACTAGTAGTGAGTGAGGGTGTATGGTTATATGAGCACATTATTAATGGAGGTGGGTAAGTGTATGAGCCCATTATTAGTGGGGGTGGGTGGGTGTATGAGCCCATTATTAGTGGGGGTGGGTGGGTGTATGAGCCCATTATTAGTGGGGGTGGGTGTGTGTATGAGCCCATTATTAATTGGGGTGTGTGTATGAGCCCATTATTAGTGGGGGTGGGTAAGTGTATGAGCCCATTATTAGTGGGGGTGGGTAAGTGTATGAGCCCATTATTATAGGGGGTAGGTAAGTGTATGAGCCCATTATTAGTGGGGGTGGGTAAGTGCATGAGCTAACTTGTATTGAATGGGGGTGAGTGTATGGTCATACTAATAGTGAGTGCGGGTTGGGGTGTATGAGCCAACTAGTAGTGAGTGGGGGTGGGTGGGTGGGTGAGTTGTTGGGTGTGCTTATTTGAACTAAACCTCTCATAAACAAGCACACGCCGCCAATCCATTTCCTGAATTAGTAATGTGAGAGCGAATGTTACTCCTACTTTCCCCAGCGTAAATGAGTTAACAACAGTTTTGGAGGTTCCACTCGCCCATTGTAACACATCACATGACAAAAATGTAAAGTCCAGTCAGTGGCTTTACTGTGGCTATTATTAACCTTCGAACATAGAGAAGAAGACATTCCCACATATTTAACGTTAAAAACAAAGACTTAAGTATAAGTGTACGTAAAATATCTTAGTAACATATTATTATGATGGCAATTTATTGCTAGTAGTTGCGCGAACAATTTGAAAACTTTGAGTCAGCAACACGAAAAGATCAACAGTGCCGTTTGGAGTTTAAGGTTCGGATCCAGTCCTGATAAAAAGGTTCTGTCTTGACAAGGAAAAGATTCTGTACTAGTTTGTTCTACTGCAGAGGATATAACAATGTATGTCCAATAATGACATTTTACAGCAGTAACTGCTCTTGTTGTAATCTCAAATTTTCTGACATAAAATACTAGACATCGTTCTATTGAAACTATTGCAGAGTAACTTTTCTTAAACGGTAGCCTATATGTTAGGCAAATTTGAAAATAAATGAACATGGTCATGTATGTCAACGAAGTTTTATTTCTATTTTTAGGGTGTGACAGAGTGTAATTAGTTAATTATTTTTAAAGTATTGAGATTATTTTGAAGGTATTGGAGAGTGGGTTCGAATAGCTAGAACCGTAGAAGGGTAGCCCGGACTCACTCCAATGATTAGTAATTAACTTGTTTCCAATCCAAACATATATTATTCTGTTATGGACCATTTGCTAAAGCTTTTGCAGTTTAGTAAAGCAATATAGATAACTAAGCGAATGTTTTCTTTTAATCTGTACAGCAACTGTAAATTTTGCTGCTGTAATCAGTGGCGAAACTAAGTCCACTGACATTCAGTGCGATATATCAGGGTGCCAGCCCATCCACCAAATGTTAGATACAAGTTAATACATACTATAGTCCTTTCACAAATCATCAACGTTAAATCCATCATATTTCTAAAACATTATAAAGTGACGTTCAAAGAATTAATAAGACATAACAATGCATTTTATCATAACTTTTAATTTATGCGAACGCTTTTGATATTGTTTTCGTCTAATCATTATAAACTTTGTAATATCCACAGTCTTGCAGTTTTATGTCGTATTTATTTTTCCTGACGAGATCATTAAGGTAATCAAAATGTGTTTTAAATTGTGTCACAAATATTGTTGCGTTTACTGTTCAATTTTTATACAGAATAATAAATAAATAGGTCTAATTGACAAATTGTTAATTTTTTCTTATACAAAATGCAACTCTTGCACAAGGATTATATTAGTAAAATTAAATATCGAACACCTAAGATAGTTAAATAATATGTTAAATTGTGAGAGACATATGCAACATTTGAAAGAAACCCATACAAGCAAACCCTCATTAAACATTTAATGCCGAGTTTTATGGTAAATCAAAATTGTATTTATTTTTTTATCAATCGTTTGTACTTCAGCTCAGCCTATAGATATTTCTAAAGCTTTAAAATGTGTACATTTAATTGTTAACTGGCTGTTTGCGTATGGTTTGTTGTTAAAGACTACTTGATAAAATCAACACATTTCAAAATATCTATTCTTTTTCTTCGTTATTAATTTTTAACGTTGAAAGGGATTCCGTCCACACAATTAAGAACAAACTACAAGGCAGCAGTTTTTTTTTTAAATTTAGAGTTGTCTCTCCCAGATGAGTGGCTGTCCCCAACTTTCGAGCCTTATTTGCCCGTGGGTTCGAAGTCCGGACTTATGTTTTCAGCAACCATCAGCTTAACCGACCCCCCCCCCCCCCCCAAGCCGACTTCGACACTAACAGTAAAATTGTATGACCCTAGTTCAACATAAGCGCTAATGTGCGTCATGCAGAGTTAAACTACGTAGCCTACTCAATGTATTGACTTAACATCAACCTTTAAACAGTGACACAGAAACTTGAAGTGGAAGTGATTCAGTTTTAAAGTGATGACGGTTTGATGGGACACTATATGGGCTGGTGAGTTAGCGGAAGAAAAACATTTAATTTTCTAGACCTTAAACTTTTGAACGGAAACTGTAAGAAGCTAGTGTGATCCACTAATTTTTATAACGGATGCTTCGTCGTGGTGTAATACATAATTAATAATGTTAACACTCAACTCCAAGCAGCGACATGTTTTTTTGAATTACATTTCATACACTATATATGCTATATTCTTAGTCTTTCATAATTGCTTTATATTAAAACTCAAATACAATTATGAATAGTTACTTTTTTAGGTGAACACATTTAATTATCGACTTTGACAAACAATAAAGCGTTATCCTATTAATGTAATACTTCGACTACTGTTTATCACAAACAATTTGTTAGAGTATATTAGAGATGTATAGATCTTACAAAAAAATCTAATTAATGTTTATTTAGAGTTCTATAAGAGATTTGCGCGACAAAACGTTATCTTTCTGACGTACGGAGCACATGTTGTTATACAATGTAGTGAAAGATGAGGGTTGTTTGTGAATAAAGTATAAACCAAATATGACATTTTTGGCAAGAGTTTTTTTTTTCTAGGCAAGAGTTTTTGACGAAAAAGTACATTATTTGTATTCCACCTAGGTAAAATTGTAAGGATGTAGTGCCGACCACATTATCGTTTTATATGCCGATTTCAGCTATAACAAATGAATCCCACGTAGTTAAAAACGTGATCATTCTTCCGAACCTTACGGTTCAAATAGCAAGTTAATTTAAGTTTACCCGTTGCAGTGACCACTGCATCACCTGTTGTAGTGACCACAGCATCACCTGTTGTAGTGACCACAGCATCAGCTGTTGTAGTGACCACAGCATCAGCTGTTGTAGTGAATCCGACAACACCTGTTGTAATGACCACGGCATCACCTGTTGTAGTGACCACAGCATCACCTGTGGTAATGACCACAGCATCACCTGTTGTAGTGACCCCAGCATCACCTGTGGTAGTAACCCCAGCATCACCTGTGGTAATGACCACAGCATAACCTATGGTAATGACCACAGCATAACCTGTGGTAATGACCACAGCATAACCTCTGGTAATGACCACGGCATCACCTGTGGTAATGACCACGGCATCACCTGTGGTAATGACCACAGCATAACCTGTGGTAATGACCACGGCATCACCTGTTGTAGTGACCACGGCATATGGAGCAATAGTAATATTAGTACTAGCCTATCCGACATAGCTTAGTATACTCAGTAACGTCGTACTGACTCGAGCTTGGATCCGAACTCTAGACTCTCAGTTAAACAGTCCAACGTTATATCAATTTGAGCAAGCTGTTCCACCCAACATAGTACTCGTTTCTTATATTCATAATAATCCTAAATGGGGTCATCCGTTTATGACGTCCAAACGGACGTAAAAATATTTACATATTCGTATTTATACAACTTCTTATCTTGTTTTATTTGATACATAATAATACATTCTTTCAGCCCCAAACAAATCGAGACCAACGATATTAATATCCCTAGTACCTAGAGCGCGGATAAGAACGTAAACCAGTTTCAGTGAGAAATTGTATTTGGCTTGGAGTTGAGTACATCTGTTTTTCCACATTTTTTTAAACTTCGTCTGCTCAGCCATCTTTACATTCCCAGGATGTGTAAACTTTCTACAGCCCGACATCAAGCATGTTGGTTTAGCCGTCATATCCATAGGCTGTGACTCGCACGTTTTGAATTGTATTTGAAAACAAATCAAAACGGGAATTTGCGCTGGTGGCATAGGCCTATGTTCTCAAGCTGTAATATCCTCCAAGTTTTATTTTAGTAACATTTTCGACTTGAACAGAAACAGAAACCATTCAACAATTATTGTACACCACGTATTACCACTTATAACCTCTTCATATGCCGAGGTCACAGAAACAAGTGAACTCTACTTCACTTGCCAAATAGACCGTCAGGTTTGAAAGGGAAACGTTATTACCACAAGAAAGTTTTAAACATCTATTCTCACTCTGAATTATATCAATGATGATGCATTTTAATTACTGGGGTTTTGTAAAACTAATATTATGTATTCTTCTTTTAGCAAGTGATTTTGGACATATGATAAAGATAATACAAGGTAGGAATGATTTTGTCCTGCATCATATGTTAGCTTCTATTATATATATATATATATATATATATATATATATATATATATATATATATATATATATATATATATATATATATATATACATATATATATCGTGTGTATTACGACATTCCATTTTATATTAAATCTCAGTCTGTAAGTTAGAAATGTAACTTTTTTGATTCTCAATCTCGCGCGCCGATGTACTTTACCATAAGATATTAGTAGGGTACGCCACATACTGATGAACTTTGTTACAACAATAGCGTGGCTTCAGTGATTTATTATTTAGCAATCTTCTACTACATTTATTTTTCTATGTAACATACTAGCACTCATAGGACATTCCTAAAACACACACACATGGACGATCAGACCAAGACACCTGCTCTTTACGACTACAATACCAACAGTTCAGTTCCCACTACAATAAGTTAAACACTTTATCTTTCGGCAACAACTATTCTACACAAAACCTTCATCACCAATCACACTACGTCACCACGAGCATTTCTTATTTATTTATACACATTCTCCAACTGTACAGATACTCTTAAAAATCTAACAAATACAGTACGTTTAGTTCTTAAAATGTGAGTTGCCTTTCATAATCATAAAACAGATACACAATAATTAACATTTCTAAGAAATTACTTTTTAACTATCATTAATGTAAAAAGCTAAATGAGGCAAATACGTTAAAATATAAATTTTATTTCCACAGCCCAGAAAATAGAAATACGCATCAATTCCTATACGTACAAAGGCAGCCTATTAGTAGACCCTTATGCAAATGTCACCATTGAGTGCAGTTTAAAGGACAATGTGGTAGGCTCTACATTAAGGCTGGTCAGTCCGAGCCGTGAGGTCCTACAAGAGGTTAACAACAGTCATCTGCTGCAGTACACGATACAACAGTTTGGTTGTAGAGATAGGGGAGACTATTCTTGTCAATATCGATATGGGCAATGGGGAGGCGGTCGGAGGTTTACCATCGAGTCAAATATTATTTGTAAGTCGTTTTCTTTCTTGTATATTGACTAGTCAATAGAACATTGAGTTCTATTAATTTTTATACAATATTTGACTTGACTTGACTTAGTCCTCTGCTCCTTATGGAACATAGGGCCTCCACCATTTCCTTCCATTTCTTCCTATCCCCGGCTATTAATTTTGTCATCTCCCAAGACATCCCTGTTGGCTTCAGTTCTTCAAGAAGACTCCGCCTCCAGGTCTTTCTTGGGCGCCCTCTTTTCCGCTTTCCCTGGGTTCCACTCAAGCGCTTGGCGTGTAACATTTGGGTGAGCTTTTCGCAGTGTGTGACCTACCCAGCGCCACTTCCTCCTTCTTATTTGCACACCCATAGGCTCCTGCCTAGCTTTCCTCCATAGTTCTATGTTCGGCACTTTGTTCTGCCATCTCAGTTTCAATATCTGTCTAAGGCATCTATTCATGAAGGTCTGTATCTTTGCTGTGCTTGCTTTGGAGACTCTCCATGTCTCTGCTCCATACAGCAGAACTGCCTTGACATTAGAGTTAAATATCCTAATTTTTGTGGTAATGGAGATGGCCGAACTTTTCCAAATGGGTCGCAGGACTGTGAAAGCAGTGTTTCAAATAACTGTGTGCCGAGAAATTTTTCGTAATATTCTCGATTCGAGAACTGCAACTTACATTTATAGGCCTACATATGACTAAACACAGAATACGAGACATATTGTTAACTAAACGCAATACGTAAAGTTTTCTTAGTTTAAGAAGTTCGTTGTTTAAAGGTATAGTCAATACAGGAAACATTTAAAATTTAACAACTGTATATGACAATTCACTGACTACAAACATATTACATAAGACCATGTGTATCAGTATTAATAGCAGGACTTGAATATACAAAACAAGTAAACAATGATTCGATTTTGAGGCCTGTTTAGTGCAACAACATTTTTATAGTTTAACTTTAGCTTAACCTTTCAACAAACTGCTATTTTGGTTTTCTTTTAATCGAGGAGGGTTTTTTTTCATAATATTGTGTATCGTCGATTGATTATTGTGTAATAGGAATGAGATGGCTATTTTCGTACAGGTGTCAAGTTAAAGTAAAATATCCTAAACTAACGTGCCTAGCTTTAACGCAAATTTAAATAGATAACTATCATTTCAACGCAGGTCCTATCACCTAGGCCTACCCCTGAGAGTTTGTTGGCTCTTCTTCTTGGTGGTTCTATAGACTCGAATAGGGGTTGGAATAAGGGTGGTTCTATAGACTCGACCACGGGGTTGGAATAAGGGTGGTTCTATAGACTCGACCACGGGGTTGGAATAAGGGTGGTTCTATAGACTCGACCACGGGGTTGGAATAAGGGTGGTTCTATAGACTCGAACACGGGTTGGAATAAGGGTGGTTCTATAGACTCGAACACGGGTTGGACTAAGGGTGGTGCTATAGACTCGACCATGGGTTGGACAAAGGGTGGTTCTATAGACTCGACCACGGGGTTGGAATAAGGGTGGTTCTATAAACTCGACCACGGGGTTGGAATAAGGGTGGTTCTTTAAACTCGACCACGGGGTTGGAATAAGGGTGGTTCTATAGACTCGACCACGGGGTTGGAATAAGGGTGGTTCTATAGACTCGACCACGGGGTTGGAATAAGGGTGGATCTATAGACTCGACCACGGGTTGGACTAAGGGTGGTTCTATAGTCTCAAACACGGGTTGGACTACTCGAACACGGGTTGGACTACTCGACCACGGGTTGGACTAAGGGTGGTTCTATAGACTCGAACACGGGTTGGACTAAGGGTGGTGCTATAGACTCGACCACGGATTGGACTAAGGGTGGTTCTATAGACTCGACCACGGGTTGGACTAAGGGTGGTTCTATAGACTCGAACACGGGTTGAACTAAGGTTGGTTCTACAGACTCGACCACGGGTTGGACTAAGGGTGGTTCTATAGACTCGAACACGGGTTGGACCAAGGGTGGTTCTATAGACTCGAACACGGGTTGGACTAAGGGTGGTTCTATAGACTCGACCACGGGTTGGACTAAGGGTGGTTCTATAAACTCGAATAGGGGTTGGACTAAGGGTGGCTCTATAGACTCGAACACGGGTTGGACTAAGGGTGGTTCTATAGACTCGAACACGGATTGGACTAAGGGTGGTTCTATAGACTCGAACACGGGTTGGACTAAGGGTGGTTCTATAGACTCGACCACGGGTTGGAATAAGGGTGGTTCTATAGACTCGAATAGGGGTTGGACTAAGGGTGGCTCTATAGACTCGACCACGGGTTGGACTAAGGGTGGTTCTATAGACTCGAATAGGGGTTGGACTAAGGGTGATTCTATAGACTAAACCACGGGGTTGGACTAAGGGTGGCTCTATAGACTCGAATACGTGGTGGGACTAAGGGTGGCTCTATAGACTCGACCACGGGTTGGACTAAGGGTGGTTCTATAGACTCGACCACGGGTTGGACTAAGGGTGGTTCTATAGACTCGACCACGGGTTGGACTAAGGGTGGTTCTATAGACTCGACCACGGGTTGGACTAAGGGTGGTTCTATAGACTCGACCACGGGTTGGACTAAGGGTGGTTCTATAGACTCGAACACGGGTTGGACTAAGGGTGGTTCTATAGACTCGACCACGGGTTGGAATAAGGGTGGTTCTATAGACTCGAATAGGGGTTGGACTAAGGGTGGCTCTATAGACTCGAACACGGGTTGGACTAAGGGTGGTTCTATAGACTCGAATAGGGGTTGGACTAAGGGTGATTCTATAGACTAAACCACGGGGTTGGACTAAGGGTGGCTCTATAGACTCGAATACGTGGTGGGACTAAGGGTGGCTCTATAGACTCGACCACGGGTTGGACTAAGGGTGGTTCTATAGACTCGACCACGGGTTGGACTAAGGGTGGTTCTATAGACTCGACCACGGGTTGGACTAAGGGTGGTTCTATAGACTCGACCACGGGTTGGACTAAGGGTGGTTCTATAGACTCGACCACGGGTTGGACTAAGGGTGGTTCTATAGACTCGAATAGAGGTTGGACTAAGGGTGGTGCTATAGACTCGAATACGGAATCAACTACACCATGTTATATGCAATTGATAGCTTAATTTATAATACATATTTTAATTATTTTAAAAAATGTGTTTATTTACAAGAAAATTTATTTTACATTATTGATACAATGTATTTATTTTTGTGCTAACCTGGACTAAATATTATTTTATTAAAATTGTATATATATATTTTTTGTAGAACAAAGATGTCCTAAGTTTTCTAACTGTCTGGTCACACTGTTGAACGATGAGCATCATGTCTATGCTAATGACTCGGTCGTGACCTATCAGACGTCTTGTGTTAGCGAGGACCAACAGAGAAACAGAGATGAACATGAGTACATGACCATCATAGAACAGACGAACAACAGAGATGAACATGAGTACATGACCATCATAGAACAAACGATCAACAGAGATGAACATGAGTACATGACCATCATAGAACAAACGAACAACAGAGATGAACATGATTATATCACCATCATAGAACAAACTGACTACAGAGATGGACACGAGTACATGACCATCATAGAACAGCAGTACTCTAGTGTATGTGATGACGTCATGGTTAAATATAGCCCAGGTTTAAATGATGGGTATATTACACCGCTGTAGATATTTAACGAAAGAGTGTACATACTATTTTACAAATAAAAAATAGAAGATTGCTATTATTGCTACCATGTATTACTTTATATCAATTTAATCATTTTTTTTCCATCTTTATTATGCCATTAAAACTTTTTTTTTTTCAAAAAAACCAACATAATATTGTTTTTCTATTTGTTACATAAATGGTTTTTAAAACTATACTTTTTCAATATTTAAAAAAAAATCAACTGATTTTCAATTGTCACTACAGGGCAAAATGAGATATATTTATTTACAATGTTTCTATTTTTTCACGAACTAGCCTTTGATTATGTCTCATTAATTATAATTAGTAAATAACGACTTATTCAAAAGAGTTTCCCATCATGCATATATAATATTTATGGGATGGTCTAGCGGTAGAGATCTAGACTGCCAACACGAAAGTCTCGAGTTCGAATCCGGGTTCAAGTAAGCGTAATATCGATGATTCCACCCAGTTGTGATGGTTACCTAATTCACTTTCGGCAAACAAAGGCGTCTGGGCATATTGCTGACCACGCTATCCCCTTCATATGCCGAGGTAATCAGAAGCAGTTTAACTCTACTTCATCTGCCCATAAGTCTTAAGCACGAACCATTCCATCTCGCTGAAATTAAACGCTCTACTTCCTATGTATCAAAGAAATGTATAATTTGCCAATTTAAAATCATATTCTCATAGTGCATACTCTAAGAAATTTTCAATATATACTATTTTTTTCAATAAAAGAAATAATGAGGTTTTGTCACTAATTTCTATCGACAGATTTCACTAAAGGTGTCATCGCAACTAATCTAATATATAAAGTTCAATTCTGTATGTTTGTAAAAAAAATGTGTAAAATGTTTGTCGTGGATTACAAAGGAGTATAAGAAAAAACGAAAAACAAAACGATACTCCATGGATTCAAGTGTTAGATTATTAAAGCGCTCATGGTCTAAATTTATGAATTAAAAATTACTATTGAAAGTCTATAAAAACAATTTTCGTTTATATACTTAGAATAATAATTTTCAATTATGAACATTACATAAAATTTAAAAAAAAAAGTGTATCAACGTTTATAAAATTTCTAAAATTGTGTCTGAAATGTATTTGCATTTTGCCATTTAGTTGTCATAACGTCCCTTGATTTGGAAAACACAGTTACTTCCCTTTATAAAAATCTTCAAATCGGGGGAAGAACGAATTTACCCTTTTATTACTTTGTTTTGGTGTTAGGAAAAAAAATAATTACATAATTAGCGGGGATTGATTAAGTGCAATGTCGTTGGTATTTTTTAATACTGCCTTTTAGTTATTCTATACACCGAACATACTGTTTACTAATAATTTTTTTTTAATAAATAACATTTAATAAGCCAGGTCCTACAAATCCTATATGTTTATTTCATTCAATTTACGGATAAGGTTGGAGTATTATAATTTTGTTCACTAAATTGAAACAGGAGCGTCCGCCGGCGCCCCTGCACGGTTCATTTTGGCGCCCTGGGCTATCATGTGAGTGCTATGCTGCATAATTTCGTTTTTAACAGTGCGATAGACTATGGATAAGAAAGGTTACTATAGTCTTTAAGTGAATCAAATCCGGGCGTCCTCCGGCACCCGGAGAAGGTATTATTTGGCGCCCCGGACCTTCCCGTGTTCGCAATGGTACCTACGTTCGCGTGAGTTCAAAAGACTATGAATAAGTTGGGTACAATAGTCTACAATACTAGAAATTTAGAACTAAAATGCTGCATTAATAGTTTGTGGAATTTCCTTACAGCTGTCGTGTGCCAAGGTAAATTCGAAAACTTCATATGTATACTGTTCTACAATGACTATTGGGTAATTTTGTGTCTACATCTAACATCTAAATGTAAATCATGCCAAAGTAAATTCGAATACTTCATAGCTATACTGTTCTACAATGACTATCGTGTGTTTTTGTGTTAATATCTAAAATCTAAATGTAAATCATCTCTTCACTCTTGTTAGGGTTGTAGGGGCGCCACAGAGGTGTGTGTCTAGGGCTAAATGTCGCATGTCGGCGCCACAGAGGTGTGTGTCTAGTGCTAAGTGTCGCATGTTGGCGCCACAGAGGTGTGTGTCTAGGGCTAAATGTCGCATGTTGGCGCCACAGAGGTGTGTGTCTAGGGCTAAGTGTCGCACGTTGGCGCCACAGAGGTGTGTGTCTAGGGCTAAATGTCGCATGTTGGCGCCACAGAGGTGTGTGTCTAGGGCTAAGTGTTGCATGTCGGCGCCACAGAGGTGTGTGTCTAGGGCTAAATGTCGCATGTTGGCGCCACAGAGGTGTGTGTCTAGGGCTAAATGTCGCATGTCGGCGCCACAGAGGTGTGTGTCTAGGGCTAAGTGTCGCATGTTGGCGCCACAGAGGTGTGTGTCTAGGGCTAAGTGTCGCATGTTGGCGCCACAGAGGTGTGTGTCTAGGGCTAAAAGTCGCATGTTGGCGCCACAGAGGTGTGTGTCTAGGGCTAAATGTCGCATGTCGGCGCCACAGAGGTGTGTGTCTAGGGCTAAGTGTCGCATGTTGGCGCCACAGAGGTGGGTGTCTAGGGCTAAATGTCGCGTGTTGGCGCCACAGAGGTGTGTGTCTAGGGCTAAGTGTCGCATGTTGGCGCCACAGAGGTGTGTGTCTAGGGCTAAGTGTTGCATGTCGGCGCCACAGAGGTGTGTGTCTAGGGCTAAGTGTCGCATGTTGGCGCCACAGAGGTGGGTGTCTAGGGCTAAATGTCGCGTGTTGGCGCCACAGAGGTGTGTGTCTAGGGCTAAGTGTCGCATGCTGGCGCCACAGAGGTGTGTCTAGGGCTAAGTGTCCCATGTTGGCGCCCACCCCTCTCCATGCCTGACCACAGCCCGATGCCTTCATCTAGGTAGCTCGCCCTTTGAAAACACGCTGCTGTTAAAGTCCATCTAGGTAGCTCGCCCTCGTCACAGACACGCTCCCGCTGAAGTTCATATAGACACTCTTGTGTCCTGGCCGGTGACCTTTACTGGAAGGTCAGACTACCAGTGATGCCTTGTTAGCAGCGGTGGATTGATTGTTGAGTTTTCTCTCTTAGATGAGTTGCTGCCCCCAGCCATTGAGCCTCATCTGTACTGTGGTTCGAACTTGTGACTATTCGGTTTAGCACCCATCAGCAATACATACATGTCTACATAGTGAGTTGAAATAACACGTATAGTACAATACTACACGATTGAAAATAAAGAACACTCTTGGTTGCACAGTACAGCATTTATTTTCATGAACTTTAAATGGGTCTACAATTTTAACATTAGTATGTGTAACTATTTCTTAAAATATCGGCAATAGGGTTAAATATAAGTATGAAAATAAATAGTTATTTATGTCAGTGGTAGATAGTTATATTGTACTGAAGTTTAAATTTTATCCGGTTTTGGTGTTACTAAAAAATGCTAAAAACATGTTTTTAATAGCTAGAGTTATGAGTAATTTAAGTTTGGCTATACATGTCATTGTGGACTATATCTAATATTGGATTAAATTTAAGCCTGCCATTGGTACTGCTTATACAAAAGAGTGGACGCCAAGATGCTGCCGTTTGGAGATTTGTAATCGGCAACTTTGTCGACACCCCAAAGAAACGGGTCGGCTGATGTCGTGATGGTGTTGTTGAGAGTCGTGGTCACTTTAGCGGTTGTCTGGTGAGTCGTATGGGCAACAGTCGTCTTAGGTGCTCTGGTTGTCTTAGGTGGTCTGGTTGTCTTGGGTGGTCTGGTTGTCTTGGGTGGTCTGGTTGTCCTGTTTGGTCCAACATTTGAACCACCGCCCCCCTTCCCACCACCTCCGCCCCCCTTTCCCCCACCACCGCTACCCTTCCCACCACCACCACCACCGCTACCCTTCCCACCACCACCATTTCCTAGTTTCCCGCTATTTTCATTTGATGGTGTAGTCGGTTGAGTATCCGGATCTGTCACACCATCATCTGTTACATGACCATCTGTTACACCACCATCTGTAACTTCACCATCTGTAACATCACCATCGGTAACATCACCATCTGTAACATCACCATCGGTAACATCACCATCTGTAACATCACCATCGGTAACATAACCATCTGTAACATCACCATCGGTAACATCACCATCGGTAACCACACCATCTGTAACCTCACCATCTGTAACATCACCATCGGTAACATAACCATCGGTAACCTCACCATCTGCAACATCACCATCGGTAACGACACCATCTGTAACCTCACCATCTGTAACATCACCATCGGTAACATAACCATCGGTAACCTCACCATCTGTAACATCACCATCGGTAACGACACCATCTGTAACTTCACCATCTGTAACATCACCATCGGTAACATAACCATCGGTAACCTCACCATCTGTAACATCACCATCGGTAACATCACCATCTGTAACTTCACCATCTGTAACATCACCATCGGTAACATAACCATCGGTAACCTCACCATCTGCAACATCACCATCTGTCATACTATTGTCGTAGCTGCCGGTGTAAGTGTCGCTGTTGTCATAGCTATCAGAAGTGTCGCTGTTGTCATAGCTATCAGAAGTGTCGCTATTGTCGTAGGTATCATAAGTGTCGCTGTTGTCGTAGGTATCATAAGTGTCGCTGTTGTCGTAGGTATCATAAGTGTCGCTGTTGTCGTAGGTATCATAAGTGTCGCTGTTGTCGTATGTATCATACGTGTCGCTGTTGTCGTATGTATCATACGTGTCGCTGTTGTCATATGTATCATACGTGTCGCTGTTGTCATAGGTATCATACGTTTCGCTGTTGTCGTAGGTATCATAAGTGTCGCTGTTGTCATAGCTATCATACGTGTCGCTGTTGTCGTAAGTATCATAAGTGTCGCTGTTGTCGTAAGTATCATAACCGTAGTCATAACTATCATAGGTTTCGCCGTAGTCGTAGCCGCCTCCGCCATAGCTGTCGTAATACTGCCTTGAAAACTTTTGCTTTCCACCTAAATTTATTAAAAGAAATATAAAATATTTTTAATATTTTTTTTCTATACGGAAAATCAGATCAAACGCAATGAATTCCGCTCAAAGACACGCTTAAAATGCTTTCAGTGTATGTATGTTTGTGTTGTTGTGTATTTGTGCGTCTGAGTGTTTACGTGTTTTTGTATTTGTTTGTATGTATGTTTGTATGAAATTACGAATGCAGACTTTGCAGTACAACATTAGAAATATTTTTAAAATGTTTGACACACATTTGAAAGGTAATATAGTAGTAACAGGTTTGAAACTTACGGGAAATTCTTTTTAAAGTCCTCTGTAAAAATATTTGAGATGTAGTGTATGTTAGTCATGAAATAACACTTTAGGAAAAAGTTAAGGACACACAGAGGAAAATGTATGATACAACACTAAAACATGCTACATCACATTGAATCACACCTTACTGCATTTGTATCCGCCATGTCTCTAAAACCCAAATTAACAACTCACAAAGTAAAGTGTATAACCTTGAGGTACAGAGATAGATAGCTAACCCTCAAGTCTCGAGTTCGAATCCAGGTTAAAGTCTTAACTCAAGTTAAAGAATGTAAAGACGGCTGGGCATAGTGCTGACCACACTATCCCTTCATATGCCAAGGTCACTGAACA